TATGTCTAATTCAGTTTTTATTGTTATATTTAGTTAACAACATGCTTTAAAGTGTAGTAGTGTACTTAAAAGTAAACTACAATAAAATAACAATGCACCGGCTATATTGCAGACTATATACTGTTTCATCTGATGAAACCTTTTGTGAGTAATTCAACATTGTAGTAATGTTAATGAATATAAATTGGGCCTTGTAAGCTACTAAACTTTGAAATATTAACTGAACCGATTATAACCGAATATATTTACTTTGATGTAAGCATACCTAGATATTGCTTGATAATATGTAGGTAAGTACTAATGATTGTAGGTAATTATGTAAAACAAAACTGTTTTCAAATAACAATCAGATAAATATTAGTGCGGTATCAACTAGTGTTTCATTTCATTTCTTTTCCAAACGTATTTTTCTGTCACAGTTTGCTCAACACTGAGTAGTGTGTCACGAGTATGTATGTTTCCGCCTGTGGCTCCTATATTATTGTGTCCTATATTATTCATATAAACCTTCCTGTATATTGATGAAAAACGCATTGAAATCTGTTGTGTATTTTAAAAGATAAGATCTCAGTGTACCGAAATCGAATATATATAGATATAGGTAATAATTTTTATACACACGATGTATTATTTTAGTAGTTCTGTATTTATTGTTCAAATATAGATGTTAAAAAAATACAGATTGCGAGAAATCCATCACCATCGAATGAATCTAACTAACTTATCTAACCATTTGTCTTGAATTTTAAATCCAAAGAAGTATAGCGCCGAACAACCGTCTGAATAAATTAAAACAAAAGCGAAGCAAGTGATATACCTTATTCCTAAAAACACCCACTCGGACTCGGCGTAGAAAAAATATAGAACAACCAAGCTACACACCGACGCTGAAACAAATGGCCTCCGTATTTAATTGAGTGTCATTTCCAAACTAATGGGCCAAAGATCAATCGGCTTTCTTTGAAAGCTTAATTATGTTTATTCGATGCCATTAATTCGTGGACCAGTTAGTTTAATCGTTCCGCTTCGATCTAGTTAAGCCAATTCGAAAGTATTTTGTGAGATAGCAAGCGTTTACGAGTGAATGGTAAACGCTACTGGCCCTTTAAAAATAATGACGTCGTTCTTGATCGGCAGTAAAATTTTGAATATCCAGCGGACCCACCAAGGAGGAGCGATGTTTTAACAAAGATAAAAGGAACACATGTGGAAATAATTAAGAACTTCGAGACGATGAGCAGTATAATAATAAGTAATGCTGCACGACCAATTAACGATAAATGAATATTCAAGAATCATCTTAGAGACAAGCTATCCTTCCGAAGGCTTAATCAATTGAAATTCCTCTTCAAGCTGCACAGAGTTATTGCGCCAGAACAAATTTGGGCGGAACCCAATTACGTGAAGTGACTCTGCAGTAATAATCGATCAAAAAGAAGACCAGATTATAGCCAGGTGCTTCCGAATGAAAACTGCCGGGACCCTCCGCCGCGGAACGAATGGAGCATGTCAATCACTTTAATTAATCATTCAAACTGTTTCAATGGAAATTTAATTCCATAAAGATCGGCTAAAACGTTCTCACGAACTATTCTGTGGTCACACCTTGTCATTGGAGATGACAATGATGCCTTATAATGCGTTCTTGAAGCATGATCACGACCTTTTTAGCTTATAAGTACATACGTTTGCTGTTACATGACGCAATCCACTGAATTCTCTTTTGATTCCTCTAATTAGGCACTAAAGAGTTATGGTGATTTTAGTGCATTGAGTCAAAACCCAATTTTAATGCGACCTCCGTCATAGTGCAATCTTTTTCGTCTTATCCTCTCACATAAATCGAATTAAGAGAGGGCGCCTAAACCTAGTATAACTTAGTTTCAATTGGTTTAAATGTATATATACTTTTATTATCTCACTTTTTTAAATTATGGTCTATGTCATCCCCGATAGTTTAAAAAATCCAGTAATTTCGGAATTGATTTGATTCAAACAAATAATGATATTTTTCCTATTTATTTTACTAAAGTATAGATTTACCAAATTTAGTGAGGTTTCTTTTGTTTATTTCAGAGAGAGAAAATGCACATTGCTACTCCACATGACTCTACCCTGTATATTCACAATTTTTTTAATAGGAAACATTGATAAATACGTAAGTCACTTTTTAACAGAAGGCTTTACGGAGTTCTTTTACAATCACATTATGGTTTCCGAGTTATAAATTCGAAATAGTTCTTTACACGAAACAAGCCATCTTTTGTCTCTATATATCTCATTGACAGCGGCTTTGATTTTATCTTGGTCTCTCTATTGTCTATATTCTAAAATAAAAGACTTATCACATTTACAAAGATCCTTTTATACCTTAAATATAATGCAATAGGTATCTCAGATTTTTACTTGTAGGTAGGTACCCTAGAGTTGATGAATTGTACTAGAACTTAGCTCGTACTTGAAAACTAAACGCTTTGAGAGTGTTTGCGAGTGCTATTTTAATGTTCTATTCATATGTCTTTGAGCATCGAAAGTTTAAAGATTGTCAACCAAGTGTAAAATTTATTGAAGACATTTATTAATGAATAGGGACTTATTTCAAACTAGACTGGCTGTCTGGTGTTGTCGGTGTGACTTTTAAAATTGAACTTAATGCGTTTGATGTATGAATTGAATTGGATCGGTTGGTATGTAGGGCGTTAACCTCGCGTTCTTTCGATGTAGTGTAAGCGACTACCTTGTAAGGTGACGCCCAGACAAGCAGTGATGATTCGCGACACCCACGACACTCGGTCTCAACGGTGGCATTATCACAAATCTCAAAAAGGGATTGCACAGCTTTTTGTCGGAAACACATAAAACTAAATACAAACGCGATAAAACCGTTTTAAAGTTGTTTCAATTATGTAACAAACTATTTGTTAGCGTATCATCAAATATTGTTTATTTAATTACAATTTTTTTTATTATCTTTAATATATTTTTTTTTGGGTTTTTGTCTTTAAAACACGACAGCCCCATTAATTACAACATTTTTCGGTAAAAATGTTCGCGCTGAAGCAAAATTTACTGTCTATATATGAGTAGGGTTTTATTCATTTTAGTCTATGTTTAAACGAAGGAACGAATGGTTGTGTTCGTGCTGTTTTGCCGATGCATGTTTGATTTAGATTACCTAATTTGTAAAATTTGCACATAAATCAAAATTTACATGTTTACATTTGAAGGAACACAAACATAAGATAATAACTGACGACTGTTTTGAGTTTCTTTCTTGTATAGTAAGTATTCTGATTTTAAAACATATACGAGGAAGAAAAGTTAAAATATGGGGCCACTAAGACTGTCGTTACTCTTGCTAAGGGGACCGGGTCTGATAGCAAAATACATAAAAATATCTATATTTAACAGGGCTCTAGAAAGAGCAGCCAAAATCTTAAACCGATGCCAGCAAACACAAGGGATTGTCATGTAATCAAATATAAAATTTATGTTATAATATCGGAAGAAATATAATCAATTGCTTTACATAAAATTACCTAAGTGCAATAATTATAATAATCTAATGTGAAAGGCAGCAGCTTTATATATAAAATGATGTATAAAATAGGTTTATTATTAAATTAAGGTATTAAAAAAAAAACAAAATATAAAATATTGTAATTGTTTATTTCATAAACAACTTGAATTATAAACAACGTTATAATATTTCTGACTTGGGACACAGCGACTTTTAAATACAACACTACGTCCTCTATTATACGAGGGTCAAACTGAAAGTTCTTAGAACTGGCCACTTATAAACAATATAATAAAAAAATAATTCTAAAATTTGAAAATATAACTCTTTGCCAATATTACTGAGTATATATTTCATTCATTTGTCATTTGTTTTACGATTTGGCGGCAAATTGAAAATTGTCTGTGTCACGTAATCATGAATTTAACACGAGAAAATTTTCGTGCAATGATTTTTTATGACTTTCGATGTCATTTAAGTCAACAAGAAAGTTATGATAGACTACGATTGGCCTTTCACGATGAAGCCCCATCTCGTGCGACTGTTTACAACTGGTTTAATGAGTTTAAACGTGGTCGCACTAATCTCACTGATGATTTACGTGAGGGACGGCCTTCTACGGCGACGACTGAAGATAACATCTGTGTTGTGCGGCGTATGATAGAGACTGACAAAAGAGTGACCTATCAACAGATTCGGACAAGCTTAGGCATCGGTATGAGTCAAGTGCACAAAATCCTCCACGAACATTTAGCGGTCAGGAAGCTTTGCGCCCGGTGGATACCTCATAATTTGACTGAGGCTCAAAAACTCCATCGTGTGGATTGGTGTCGTAAAATGATTGAAAGATTTAACGGAGGTGACTCAAATGCTGTGTTCGACATACTAACAGGTGACGAAAGCTGGATTTACTGTTATGATCCTAAAACCAAAAGACAATCTGCTCAGTGGGTGTTTCCTTTCGAGGAGTTGCCAACTAAAGTGAAGAGAGATCGAAGTGCGGGAAAAAAAATGGTGGCCTCGTTCTTTGGAAGGATAGGTCATTTTGCAACAATTGTGTTAGAGGATCAAAAAACAGTTTCTGCAGAATGGTACACTACCAATTGTTTGCCACTTGTCTTGGAAAAAGTTCGAGAGAAACGACCTCGCAGTAGGATCCTCCTTCACCACGACAACGCCTCGTCGCACACCACCAAGCGAACGATCGACTATTTGGCGACATCAAACGTTGAATTACTGGGTCACCCGCCGTATAGCCCCGACCTCGGGCCTTGTGATTTTTATTTATTTCCAAAAATTAAAGAAAAACTTAAAGGAAAGCGGTTTATGAATGCTGAAGAAGCGGTGGCTGCGTATCGCGATGCCATTGAAGAGACCCCTAAGGACGAGTGGGCAAAGTGCTTTTCCCAGTGGTTCCATCGCATGCAGCGGTGTATTGACGTGAATGGACAATATTTTGAAAAGATATAATAAAACTAATAACTGGCTAATGTAATCAGTTTTTGATTTTCTAAGAACTTTCAGTTTGACCCTCGTATTTCTTATATTTAAACATTTACATTTTTATTAGAACTATCCTAATATCACAGATTAGTTGATCATAACATTTCAATAAATTTAATAAACGATTTAAACATTAGTGAAATAATTTACAATAGGATTTTTTCTTTATGTATAATTATTTACACATATTTTTTGATGTTACATCAAAGTAATTCCATTTATTAATCACAAAATTTTCACCTTTTTCCCAATAATTGCGTAGCTAGAAATATAAGTGTCCTGAACTAATTTATTCTTTATTTGTATACAATCTTAAATATAGAAAGCCTTTTTATATTTACATTATAATACAGTTTAATATCACAACCTAAATGAACAAATAAACTAAACTAAATGAATAAATAAACAAATGTTTGAAAATGTAACCTTAAATGAGTAGGTAACAATCTTTAAATCAAGTTATTCTTCGTAATAATATTAAAGCAATAACCTCTTTAATTATTACAATAAATTTAAATGTTCATATTATAAATTCCGTAAAAAAGTCGTAACAGTTTAATGTTGTGGGTTATTAAAATGTCTTAAAAGAATTTAATAGTTAAATATGACCAAAGATCAGATTAGAACGGATTTGACTTTGATAATATTAAACATTAATGTGTGTTAAATTAATTTAGGTCTATTTAACGTGAATTTGAACATAATAATAAGGTATTTTAATATTTTAATGGCGTTATAATGATTTTGTGTAACTTTACAGACATTGAAAGCCTTAACAAGTATAGATTACTTGAACGATTCCTCGTAGATGCTTCGCTATCTCGGGCAGAATTTGAATTGAGGGAAAAGGAAACAATGCAGCGATAGGAATCTGCAACAATGGCAACAATATTATTCGGTTGCTATCTCTACAATCTAATTACACCTTTATAACATTTTCTGCAAATACAATACATTATTCATTTTGTGAGGCAGTTAGTAAACAAAAAGCGGGATTAAACGCTGACGATCTCGAGAACATAGTCTATAACGTCTGCCATAGTATTTTAGGTGCAATATTTTCAAAAATAATTAGGACTTAGTCATCGTTAAATTGTGATAAGAAAAGCAGATAATAGGTCTACATTGATGTAACGATATTGGAAGAAAAAAAAGTTTGCCAAGAAAGTGGATAAAAGATAGAATGGGAGCCGGATTCTAGCTACTTTCCCAAAAGTTGAGGTATATCCGACTTTGGGGAAGGTAGCGGTTTAGGATGACTATAAATATGAAATTGACTTACCGACTAGGATCGTATCTAGTATCGAAGCCGGGCACGTCGACAACATTCCACTCGTCTTTCGCCTTCGCGTAGCTGAACGATATTTGTTCTCTGAACGATTCAGCCGGTAATAGTTTCATTTGTTCCAAATGTGAATGGAACTCTGGTACCAGGGTTAAATTTTTTTTCATCAGGTGCTCTGGAATGGAAATCATTCTTTAGAACTTAATTGACGACGTTTTGGGAACATAGCTATACTATTGTTAGGTTTCCTTTAAAATAAGAAATAGTTTAATATCAAAATATTGCTGTTATACATGGATTATAAATTTAATGGAGTGAATCAAAATGGACAATTGTAGATTTTTCTTAACGTGTAGATAATGATTTCTTTTAAATACAGTAAATAGGTTATACATATTTTTATATAGCAGCAAGTGACTATTAGATAGTAAACGTTTGACCTCGACTTCGCCTGAGTCAATTTTAGAATTGATATTTAAATATAATAAATACTGTATACTGAACAAACCGTTCAATATACAGTTTTAACAAGTTTTTATTTTAATTTTGAGAATGGATTCAGTTCTATGCTTTTATTCAAAAACCTCATACTCATCGACGAATGCAGCGTTGTTAAAGCACAGATGTTTGATTAAATAAAATTCACTTCAAAACGTATAAAAGGTTTTATTACATTGAATTTCTATGACGTAACTGCGCTGCGTTTGAGGCTATTTTTTGTAACATATTAGTATAAGTTCTTCTAATTTCACATGAATTATATTTTTTCTAAATTTTCAAATTCAATGTGTTGAAGAATCTAAACAATTAAATGTCATTTTTCGCGGGTAATTTTGGTTGATATTAGGTGTAAAACTAAAAGTCAGCATTAGAATTAAATTATAAAACATGAAATAAAAATAAGTTCTAATTTATATTGAAAATCACTTTACCAATTATAAAACCCATAGAGACGTCATCTGGCAGTCGTATCTTCTCACAGATGCTGATAAATCTACCGCCGCTGCAGGAAAACATGTTAATTAGTAATGTCGGACCGTGTGAACGATTAAAAAGTTAAGGTATATGTTAACAGGGACGTACCTCGCAACAGGTAACATTTTCAACGCCAAACTTCTGCTTATGCAAAATCCAGCGCCACCGGTAGCGAACCAAAACGAGAACATCAACTGTAACAATTTTAGAATGGAATGTTTGTGAATACTTCATTTCATTGACGACAACATGTTACGTTTGTAACTTTTGCAGGATGAGATTTGGATGTAATGGCTCATTCGATTGTTGGTAGGGCCTGTATGAGTAGTGAGGACGTTTCCTATGGGCCCATTGCATTAGTCTTTCAATGGACAGCCAATGACGGACCAATGCAAATAAAACATATGAATCGTCCGCATTCCTCATCCAGATATCAAACAGTATGTAACTTGCCTTTGTAATAAGAACTTGAACAAATATTCGAAATGAAATCAAAATATATAGTGTTATAGTAATCTAGAAATTAAAATCGTTGGAGAGTGTAAGTAACATTTTTTTTCGTAAATTACATATTTTTCGACTTCATCGTATATGAACACGAGAAACAACGTTCGGTTAGGTAAGTTAAGACTGTGATTAGTAATTTTCAAAGATTTTTTTCAGAGTTCCATTATGTAATATTTAAAATTAGAACATTTTTGAAGATTTAATTTTAAAACACCTGAAAAGGCTGAAAACTTCATTCAGGTATCAAATGATTTGCACATTCAATTATTATTTCGTGTCTTGAAAAGGCTTGAAACTTTATTTTAAATCTAAAGCAGAGAGAACGATCTTAAGACTTAAAAGTCTACATTTTAAACGATGTGCACATTCACTTATTGTTTCCTGTCTTAAATCAGGCGTCTTGCAAGGAAATCTTATAGTTACACCTTTAAATAACTTGTCTGTTTTTGGCACAAATCATACGAATATTACCTCATTAGTCGGCTTCTTATAAATCTGGACCGGTTCATTGACCGATGTTCGACCAAGATACCAATCTTCTTGATGATTATATTTCTGCAGTGCCTCGACCAAGCGGGGTACGTTCACGTAGTTATCGTCATCGAAGTGGCAAAACCACCTGGCGGAGAAAAAAATGCATTTAATACCCCCATAAACTTTACGAGGATTGGAAAAGTTTATTACCAGGACGAAAGGAAAAAAAAACAATAACGCATCGAACAGAAAATTAACACAAAACATCTCCCACCGTCCGTCGGCCATCAATTTCAACTGTCTCCGACAAAACGAGCATATAAAAACCGGAAAAGTTATCAGCTGCCTTCACCAATGTGTGTATTAAAGAAATAATTGCAACTCTGTAAGAAGCGGTTATAAAGCCGTCGTTGTTTGAGACTCGATACGGGCAGCGATAATTAAAGTACGTATGCTAGTATAATTTTGCGGTATTACTCTCGGCGTTAATAACAGGAGCTGCGTCCGCGCAATCCGTGACCACATATTGCAATATGGCGTGCGACAAATGGCTCTACGATGCTGATATACTGGGTCAGGTTTCTGCATATCAAGTTATGCGTTTGCACAATTTTATCGACAACTAATGGGTTTATAGTATGAAAATAATTTAACATTCTGTTATAAGCAGTGTATTTATTTAGAATGCTTTACTCGGTTATTTAGTATATGATACATTATGAATTGCTGAAACGATATAAGGTTGTAGGGGTTGCAGAAGATTCATTATGATATCTCTAGCGTCTAGTGCTTGATTCCCGGATTACGATAAGAAGAAGGTTTTAGGTACTCACTAAGGCGCTTATTGTCCAAAATATGATATAGGAAAATTATCATCATCTGGTATTGAAAGTAAAACGAAGGCAATTCTTTAAAATTTTATGGTCATCTATATGGCATATCTAGCTCGGTGGCGTAGTGGATTAGCGCCGCGGCCCGTGATTTTAGTCGTTAAGCAACTTTCGCAAAGGTCGGTCACGGGATGGGTGACCAAAAAAATTATTATCTCGAGCTACTCCGTGCTTCGGCACGTTAAGCCGTTGGTCCCGGCTGCATTTGCAGTCGTTAATACCCTCCAATCCGCATTGGGCCAGCGTGGAGGGTCATGGCCCATCCTCCTTAACCATCCATAAGGTAGGCCTGAGCCCCTGCAGTGGGGACGTAAAAGGGCTGATGATGATGATATAAGAAAAGAAATATATTCGAAATAAAATTTAAGTAACAATGAGGAAATTACGAGTCATCATTACGTCTAAAGAGAGAAACAAAATATATAAACACAAAAAATATTACGAAGCAAGAATTTAAGAAAATAAAACAATAATAACAATGATAGTTGGGTTAATTAGGACCATGTCTCAACTTGTTGTTACGACAAGGTCAACGCTAAAATTAATTGAGCCAGAAAATAGAAAGTTACAAATAATTTTTATATAGTGACCAAAATTTTCGAAATACTGTGTAACGAGGACTTTAATAATTGTAATGGTTTGCGAGATAAAGTGGGTGACTAAAAATGCTGAATCTGTAGTCATTAATACCCACCAATCCGCATTATTCCACCCCCGTTCTATTCGGTTCGATTCCAACTCAATAGACTGTATTCATAGGCTGGTGGTGAGAATGAAATTGTTTATGAGCAAAACGTCATCTCTGTCTACACATTTCATCACTTTCGTGATTATATCATGTTTTCCTTCAGCTTTTGTAAATATGTAATTAGAGAGATTCTCTATAATCTACGTAAAAAAGGTTCTACTTAATCGCTAGAATTAAGCAACGCGAATCTTTTTAAATGCCACAAAAACTTTTACGGTTCATTAAAAACGGTTGGTGTTGATACTCGTAGGTTGTAAATTACGTGGGCAAGGATTAACTTTTGAAAGGGCAGGTACATAATACTTGGGCAATGCCCACTATTACAGCCTGTCCGTACCTCTAGCGACCCATATAAAACGAAGTGAATACACGAATATAGAATCAAATATTAGGCTAAAGAAATTGACAGCTCTTTTAATCAATACGAAAACTTATATGCAGTCTATTTAAAAAAATAAGAAGAATGCATTATAAAAAATACAAAACAGAAATGAGGATTTTGAGATAACGTCAAAAAAACCTGGATTTTGAAAATTATGTGAATTTCAACACGTGTGGTGTAAAACTATGTAACTCGAAACGGAGTAAAGTAAATTGTAAATATATAGTTTTCGACTGTATTATAATTATGATTTACAAAAATAAATAAACAAAATTTGTTTAGTGTGACTAATTCTGTAAAACTACTAGTTATTTATATTATTTTTAATAATCTTGAAAATATGGATAAAGCTCAAAGACTTTACCTGTATACCCCATTGAGAGAGTGTGAGAATGAGATAGGGGCATAAAATAGTGAATTGTGCTACTTATAACTTGCAAACTATTATGGTTATTGTAAAAGTGATATTTAAATTACATTAGATATTTTTTTCATATTCACCTCATACCTCTAACGACTCTTAAAATATGACGCAGTTTTCTCATTTTAAATTACAGAAGTTGAAAGAGAAAAAAGAACAAGTTGAAAGTTAGCGCATTTGAGCACATACGCCCTTTTTAAAGTTATTAAGTTTCATAATTATAATACATAAAATACATAATTTTTATCAAATATCGTTACTATAGTTATTTACTAAATAAGACGATAAATAATACTATTTATATTTAATTCAAAGGAATGCATAGTATATATAATATTTAGTGACTACAAAGTGAGTATATATTATTTAAGACTTATCTAGAGAGATTTTGTTACTATGGAAGGATCCTTTATCTAAAGCCGGTCGTTCTCCCGGGAGCGATATAAAGAACTGCTGGTACCTGTGCGATCAGAATCTTGAGCTTGTTGATCTAATTCCAATGTCATATATAGTAGAATAAGCTAATAGGCTTATATTAAACAAACTTTTTTTTTTTATTTAACTTGTAATATACTTATTTTTTAAATTAAATTTGAAGATAAATTAATCTGATATATATTAATTTAATAGATTGCTTAAAATTCAAGTAAAGAGGCACACTAGTAGTGAAAATCACAAAATTTTCGACAGTCACACGCTAACTTATGACCCTTATGTAGCCTGTATTTAGGCTTAAAATTATGTCTACCAAATATTACCAAAATTCGTTCTATAGTTAGGAGTAGGCAGAGTAACTAACATACATAAATTCATTCAAAGTTTCGCATTTATAAATAAGGAATAGATTTTCATAATGAAAAATTCTTAAAAAATCCACTTAAAAACGAATATTATGGGTTTGTGAAAGCAAAACTTATCAAATATAATAATAAGAATAGGCTTATTAAAAAAACACATATAAAGATGCGATAGTATTATGACCCTATTTCTAACGAGCTTTCTCTATTACACTCTCAAGGGATATTTTAATAAACAACCTCCTGTTTGATTATCTCAGAAATATAACCCCCGTTTGGAAGTGAGTCAAAACATAATTTCTCTGGGGAAAAAAACAAGAGTGGTCCAACAAAAACATTCGTCGGGACTGTGTAAACGCGTGAAAATCATTGTTGGCCCAACAAAATATTGGAGTAGCTCTCGAGAATGCATTACGTTTGTTGTGTCCCTGGATACGGTCGGTATATACGGATTAAAAAAAAGCATTTGACGTTACATATCCCGATAGGTGAAGTTCGCCGTAAACCTAACTCTAAATTATTGTTTAAAAAAATAAAAAGGGCTAACCATGAATAATACTGTGATATACTACAATAATAAATAAAAATACTAACATTTCATGAACCAATATCAAGGCCTGCCAAATAGTGTCCGAGTGTTCCTTTTTTGTTTATATCTTATGTATTCAAGAGACGTAAGCCATATCTTTTCTACATATACCTTAGAGACTTGTTAATATGGTAGATATTTTATATCGGTTAATGGACTTCTCTGTGTACAAATAATACATAATTGTTTTATACAAGCTGAGTAAATAAAACACATAAGTTGCAATCGAAAACAATTGGCAAAACAATAAATAAAGTAAGACTATCGAACCAAACTAATATTGGAAAGTTGCTAAGTAAGATTCTTTAGAATAAAATATATATATTATATTATACAAAGTAAATTTATATTCGAAGGGTTTAGCTTTCAAAATGTCCAATTATACATCTTCATCAGTCCTTTCACGTCCCCACATCCTTATGGATGGTTAAAAAGGATGGGCTATAACGTCCACGTTGGCCTAATGCGGATTGGAGGTCATTATTATTAGTCACCCATCCCATGAACAACCTCTGCGAAAGTTGCTTAGCAACAACGATCACGGGCCGAGCGAGCTAACCTCACCAACTACACGTACCATACGGCCAAATATTTTGCTTAAAAACTCATTAGGAAATCCAAAATATTGAATATCATAGAAAACGGTAATTAGAGAAAGGCGTCGTCAAGCTGAATAAACAGAAATCTTTGTTCACACAATTCTGTGTGACCCCATAATATGATCATTAAAATCTTTATACACAACATCTAAAACAAATATTTGTGAAGTGAACCTTCTAAAAACAGAAGTTAAGAGCTTATTGTTATTTTACTAAAACAAATATCGTTCACGAACGACTAGGGAATTTCTAACGCCAGTTTTTTGTTTTATTATAAGCAGTATGAAAACTTTTAACATTGAAAAAACACATTAACCTAATTTTAAGGTTAGTTTTACATTATTTCACAAATTTATTCGAATACACATAATGCTCTTGTTTTAAATATAATGATACTCTAACTAGAAATTTCATTTACTATGAATGTGATTCTAAAACAATGGTAGAGAGTATGTCATAAATAACGTGAGCCTATCAACAAATCTAAATATAATGTGATCGTTGAAACCTGAGATCTTTTTATTGAAGTTGAGCACGTGATCAAAATCAGTTAGTATCTGATGGATGACAGCGTCGGCAGTCAAGAATATAAATGTGATTGAAAATCTTACCTTATACGATTGAAATTGAGTTGTGAATAGTATAATTTTCTCTAGCAGACAATAGTATTTGCTCTCTTAGGTATTTACTCAGAGTTGGTTATACAAATATATAGTCTGCTTTAGTATTTTGTAGATATACAGAGTCGAAATCATTGTTGTTGCAGCAAGAGGCTCAATTAAGTATTTTTTCCACCTTTCCAAGTACGTTTTATTTTATTGAAATTTATATGCTGTAACAATCCCGTGTTTGATACTGTATTTTTACCGTAATAGCACTGCTAATTGCTAATTACTGAACTGACTAGATAATAAATAAATATTAAACAAAATCACATTGCTTAGTTTCCAGAATTAAAAATCTTGTTATCTAATATACTTCAGGGGCTATTTCTACAGACTATATAAATCTAGCAAGTCTCAGTACTTACGTTGCTTCAGTTTTTGAAAATTGCATAAACTATAATACTGATGGCATTGAAAAATTATATGCATTACTTAATAAGGGTAGCTTAGATAGTAGAAACGCTGGGGAGTAGTATTCATATAATTTCCTTGCTTCTCCTTCAAATTTATAAATGATATAGCCAAATGTTCTTTATGGAAAATACTTAAAAAATCCTTTTTCTCCCTGGCAATCAAACCTAGCGCAATCCAGGCGACTGCTCTAACCACTTAACTACTCAGAATCTAACAGGACTGTCGAATTTTTCAAGCACTTGTTTGTTACATTTTCGCTACTACAACCGAAACAGATATTTTTCAGTAAAGCATTGAGAATCAAATATAATACACATAGTCAATTGAAAAAAAGTCATAAATTATATTTATATTTTATACACATTATTATATATTAAAATCAATTACACTACCAAATTACGACCTCCGTAGCCGAGTGGTTTGCACGCTGGTTTTAAAGTGTCGTCATCTCTGAGGTCCCTGGTTCGATTCCCGAACGGGTCAATGTAGAAAATAAACTTTTCTATATTGTCTTGGGTCTGGGTGTTGCACTACCTTTGTTGTCTCAAATACTACATAATACGGGGGCTTTAGCTTACTCATCTTGGAATTTGAGCAATGTGTGTGATTTCTAATATTTATTTATTAAATTGATAATAGTAAGACTTACAACTCCTTCGAATAAATTTATTCTTTAGAAATGGATTAAAACCACGTCTGTTAATAAAAACATTTAATTTTATTACAAGAAAAATAGCTAATATCTCCTTACAGAGTGGAATAAAAGTGCCTTCAGACATGAGAGTAATGAAAACAAAATGGTGATCGCATTTCGTATATTTATAATATGAACTCGACAGCAACATTTACTTTATGAACTAAGTTAAAGATAAATATGGAGATGATATTGTATTTGTAAATTATCTTTTATTATTTTAAAGTATTCGAGTTTAATTTATAGTTCATTCTTTTTATAAAATTAAAAAGTTATTTTTACATCGAGATTAATTAATTTAATTTAGCAACACTTTTAAATGCAAATATTATTAAATTTAACTTTACAACATTATTATTTCTTAAAAGTGACTGCTCGTAACTTAGGTTAAGATTATATTATTTGAATAATCAGCGGAACATGTTCACAATATATAAATTTTTAACTACCTTTATACCATGTTCTAAACAAATAAACGATTTGAATTTCTGTTTGATTAATTTAACAATTCGGGTTAGAAAGTATAATAATAATTGTATTATACTATTGCTATTATAGAATTTCATGAGTGTTTTGGTAGTAGCCTCAATATTTTATTTGAAGGTAACCTATATGTAAATTAATCTGAATGCAGAAGTAGTGAAGGAATGGAATTTTTGAATTCTTTAAAAACCTTCATTCACCACACCTTAATTTATTTGTGAGGTGTGAACAAAATCGTTTCGTCCGCCTTTTTTGGCTTTTATTTGATTTGGCGCCTTATATATTATATTTACTCTGTTTATAAAAGAGTTAATTAACATGACACACGAAGGCACTTTTTCTACAATAAAGTAATTTGTCTATTTTCGAAATTCAAATACGACTCCAAAGAAACGCATTTATCGATAACTTTTTTTTTTTTATTTTTTTTTTATAAAATATATGTCTGTAATTTGTTTTATGTGCCAATAAATAAATAAATAAATAGATAACTTATAATGCAACTGCGGTAGGACCTGACACTGCCTCTGATGCACATATAATATTTACTGCTATGATTAAACAAAATTATAAAACTACTTGAAATTTTCCGAATTTGCGAACGAGGACAAATAAAATAGGCCCTCAAGTGTCATGTTAATTCGTTAGAGTTACCAAGTATAGTTTCAAATGACTTTTATTGCTCACTATGGCCGTCAGCATGTAAAGTTTCCTTTACTTTAATTAACCGACTGATCTCAGTCAGTCATAATAATAGGGCCGATTAATAAACATCCATCATATTGTACGTAACAAACTCACTTTGATTGCGTTATAATTACTGGGATCTGTCATTTTGATGGACTAGGTAACGCGATAGAGTTAGTAATTATGCAGCATCAGAATTTGCTCAGGCTGCTTATTAACTTAATGTCTGAGAAGCCAAAGAAACATTGAGATGACCGTTTGAAATCTTTAATTTCAACTTCAATATTCTGTATTTCTTTATTACGTTTTCTGTATTTCTTATTAATGTCTTATCTAATTTAATTTCTAATGCTTTATTTTTAATAGAATAATAATTCAGCTGAGATAATTCTTTTTAAAGAGTATTTTCATTGGTTGATAGCGCCTGCATGCCATGTGAAAAGGATTTCTATTACGCAAACCTTAGTTGTTGCGTTTAAGGAGTATTATTATATAATTAATAATCCTGAATGAGAGGGATAAATAATTTGTTTTACATATTGACTGTTGTCTCTCATTACCCGTTATCCCGCCTTCGGGGAGTCCCCGTATGAATGATGTCGACCAATGAAATTGATTCTTTAGCAAATAATTTAGATATTGTAATAATTTATCATTAAAAATGATTCTACTTATGGATTTCACGTTACGACTGTCTCGTGATAGACAGATCGTTTGGAACGCAGTAGATGTATAAATTTCAACTTTATGTTAAATGTTTTTATATATAAATTCAAGAAAAATTAATGTCTAATTATTAGATATATTAATCTGTGTAGATAGCTAGATAAAATCCTGGTTATTTCATATTATTTTATAGAAAAAAAAAGTTTTTAACTGTTATTGGAATTCGTATTCAGGATAAGAAGAAAACATATAAATAAATATTAAACTTACTTCTTGCCGCTATCCAAGAAGTGGTCGTATTCTACCGACATTTTGCAGCAAAGATGTTTTCGTTGGTGTGACGCTGAGCAGTTTGTGTTCACCATGTGACCATCTATAACAAAAAGTTTGGATATAACTCTGATATTTTTTCTTATTTAGTAAAAAAATAAGGTGAGATTGTACGAAACTACCACTTTTAAACCAAATTCATTCTAAAGCTGTGCTAATATTTGCCAAATAGAAATCATGTTATGAAAAATAAATATATGATCTATTGCTTGCAAAAAAATATTTCTTAATATTTAAAAACTTCAATAGAAAAAAGTTTAAAAAAAATGTTTTATTTGGATCGATTTTATGACTGCATATTTCATCTTAACTATATAAATTTTATTGTATTGATCACAATTTTTTTGCAGTGAATAAACATTATCTGTTACTAGCGACTTGTTTCGACTTCGCATGGTACCAATTTTAAAACCTTTTTAAAATATTAAAATTAGTTGTTAGATTTATTCAAAAATACGATTATAAATCCTTAACGAATAATTGGTTACTCTTATAAGGAACTAAACACATTTTTTGCCAGTGATAGTTTTATCATTGTATGATTATACCTACTCATATTGCTTTAAACTTTATGTTATCTTACTGATATTATACAGGCGAAAGTTTGTAAGTTCGGATGTTGTACTTCTTCACGTAAAAAAGCGGATAATTTTAAGTCTGGATTAACATAAAGGCTACTATTTTCTCACTTAACAGTTCCCTATGGAATATGCGGGCAAAGACACTGGCGGAAAGCTAACTAGTTTTCCACCGTTATATTTAACATAAAATAAATAATAGAAACGCTCTGCAATCATATGAATTCTAATAAAAAATATCTCAAACCCATTCAAAAGATTAAATCATGTTTACAGAAGCGTAATACCTTTGGATAAGCTTATTAAATAGTTTAAAGCAGTTAGCTATATTATACATTGAATGATTTATTGTTTCAAGCTTTCATGATGCCAATTGCATTACAATGATAGTTTTTCGCGAGATCTCTACCATGTTCATTTCCCAATATTAAGGCGCTTCTAATTGAATTATTTGGTATTTTAAAGCGAACACAAGTTATTTTATACCTTGATCTGTATATTTTAAGAGCTTAATCGCTTTGAAGAACTCTAAGAGACGATAGGAGCTGTTACAATGAATTAGATCAAAATATTTGTGAACATTGTCAGGTGAAAGGGGTGTCGGACGATCGCGAACAATGGAAGTTTAACAAACTTACTCGTTTGATTTTGGTGTTGTCTGTTCTCGGTGTCTGTGAAGAACCAGATCTGTAACAAAGATTAAAACCGATTAACAACATGCCGTTAGTTAAGTAAGGCCATTTAAGACCCACGTTGTAATAAGGCCCATATTTTAAATATTGTGCTTAAAATACTTGTGTTCCTTTTTATAATTCTTGCACACAAAAGCTTAATACGACGAATCTTTCAGTGTTATAATATTATTAATAATCTTTATTTCTGAGATAATGCTCAGTAGTAAATGTTAGTAACTATAGATAATTAATTTAATATTAGTAAAACACATTACAATACATATATGTTATGCATGTGTGAGTAAAATTTAAAAAGGAACGGAAAAATATTACCATTCAGCTCAGAATTACCATTATGGGTGGGCTAATACCATTAATTGCAGTTAGTCATTATAATATCTACATGTAGCTTTATATTATTCAGACAAAAGAGTCTAGATAATCAAAGAAGACTATATGTCTATTTATTATTTTGTGAACTAGTAAAAATCCGTGTCAAGAAGAGATATTAATGCAGTGTCTTGCCATAATTACACTAACATTATCAGAATTACTAATCTGTTTACATAATAATGACGTTTCATTTACTTATTATATAACAAAAATATAAACATTCTTGTAAAATTTGCGCGTATATCGCAATCGTATCTAGATGCTCTAGATATGTTTGTGACATACGAATTCTACAAGTATATTATTACACATCTAGTTGGAGTAATAATACGGCAAAATACAATTTATGCAACAGCACCTATTGTAACGACATAATTAAGTATTAACATGAGCTAAAACATTCTCAGTTGCGAACTTATACCTATGTGTTAACAAATGAAATTGCAGTCATATTAAATGTTTTTTGTGCTCAAATAGAAGACCTTCAAACAAACATCGACCTTTGCAATTGTTGCTTAACCAAACGTGCTGACCGCGGCACTACCGTATTCCTTAGATATATAAAATGTTTAGTAAATTTTACTACTTCATTTTGATTTATCAGCGTATATGCTTCATCATGAAAAGTAAGTCTATATAAACGTAAAAACTACTACCCCAGACTCTAAACCACTTTAAAAAGTCAGTTATCGGGTTGGTGAACAAATGAGCTGGTCGGAGTTTATCTGCTGTAATTTTATCACATCAATAAGAATTAGACTCTCATACAAGATTAAAACCGCACAAAATACTAAAAGGAAACAAAACAATATCGCCAATCCTATCAATGATAAAGACAGAAATAGAAGATAAATGAAAGAAGATACTCCAAGAAATAAAGCACAAATTTTAAGTAATTTTTAGAATATTACACGCAATTTGACAGAATTAAAATTGAATTTAATTACTATTATTTACAAATTAAATTAATTTATCATAATGAAAAATATTTAAAAAATGCACTTTGTACCTGGCACTCTTAGATGTGACTGTGAACATTATCATTTTATAGCATTGTGATAAATTTTCATCGAAAGTTTTAAATATTTCTTTCGGCTGTTTAGGTGGATTGCCTGAACGTTGATAAAAATAAGCTCTGCAGAAGCTAAAAGAAAAATAAGCTCTGTAGAATTTAAAATTAAAAAATGAATCAGTCCTGACCCAGGTCCTAGGTTAGTTCAGTGGTTAGAGCAAATACCCGAATTGCAAAAGGTCATGAGTCGCATCTCAGAGTGCCAGGGAAAAAGGATTTTTAAAGCGTTTTTCATTAAGAATATTTTTAGTATAGCATTGTGAATGCAATATTGATCAAATATTAAAATTAAATTAATTATTGGTCAATTTCTACTTCAACTTTTATTAGGTCATGGTCATTTTACATACAATCACGATACATATTTTATTCGGTCTTTTCATTTCTCTCCACAATCGTGTTCGTTATTAGAATGATAATCAGCATAACATTTTTTGTGCTACAGTCATCCAGGGTCTTATATAATTTGTATGCGTGACACATTTGCTTTGGTCCCATTTGTCCAACTTGGAAAAACAAAAGAGCTTCTGGCGCCATTTCGTGGAATTCAGCAGAGTTCTTATTTAAATTATACGCGTATTTTTTTACGAGTCCTTTAGTAGTATCATATTATGCTTAAATACTGCAAATAAAACTATTGCAACTGTAATAGCAACGGTCTACATAAATAAAGAGATAGTTAACCTCGAATAGTCAACTTTAAAACTTAAAATAATACTTCACGATTATTGCTGAATAAAAATTAACAGTAAAATATGAAGTGAGTGTACTTTAAGATACTAAAAAGTGACAATCAAATAGCGACAAAGAGAAAAAATAGTTTTGTTTCGTTTCGTAATTAATTTCGAATTTTAACTCATCTGTTTATTTTTAATTGAAAATCTACAGGAGAGAAATATGTGAATCACTGATTAAACTTAAGTATGAGGATATTATTTCTCTACCATTATCACTTATACTTCAACGGAGAAAACATATACCCAATATGGAAAAGAAATAACTTACATCATCTCGTGTACAAAATAAAACTTCATTTCTAAGGAACGAAACTTTTACTTTTCCTCAAAGTGGGTATTTGCATCGCCACCTCCATGAAATATCAAGTGGGGTTGTCTTTAATATCTCGAAAGGCAAATGTGAAAAGAAATTTCCACAAAAACCACCTATTCACATGAAAATGTTGGGTTCAAATTTTTCTCGTTGCCTGTGTCGCAAGATGAGGGATTCTGCACGTTTATATGAAAATATTACTCTTTTCTTAGGATAATTTTCGTTTTCTATAAACAGTTTTATTAAATTCAGTAAATAGAAATAGATGATTTAGTGTAGGTATAATGCGTATAATATATAAAAACTTCATATCTTATTTGAGTGATTGTTTTTTATTTGATGATAATTTTTCACGACTGTAAATTGTGTAAATTATTTTGTCGAATTAAAAATAAATTTACATGAAATAAACAAAAAAATTGTAGATTTATAACTTATCAAGACGCAATAAAACTTTTTGAAGTTTGAAAAAACACTCAAATGAAACTTTAATTATATATAATGACTTTTAATATCATTTGGTACTACGAGTGTTTATATAAAAGTACCTAGAAGTTATGGGCGTTCAAAGTGATAAGCTTCTAATTTTTATCAACTGTCCATTTGTATAGAGTGCTCTTAAGAAAAATCTTTTCATTATATAGGGGTCGCCCCCTCGTTGGTTCATTCCACTGCCATAACGACACTTCTCAGGAACAAGCCTTCGAGTGCCTCCGACATGGGATATAATTTTCCTTTTCAGCACGTATACCTTTTTCTTTAAACAGTATGCTAGGCGTGAATGAGGAAGAATAAGATGTTTTTACTGTAAAAATAATAATAATCTACTCAATGGAATTATGAAGCATGGACTTTTGAAAACTTAAGTGCTTGGGGTGCAGCCAACTTAATCTCTAACCATGATTGGCCATGGGATACATCTTAGTGGTATATGGCGGTATTTCGTTTCATTTTACTACTTTGATATGTCTCATGGATTAACGACTAATTTGGTAACATTTATTCGTTTATCCTTTCATGGTTATTAAGGTATGTACATGTATATTTTATTATGTACCTTAATAACCACAAACTATATATATTTAACACGTAGTAAAATAAAACGAAATATCGCTGTAATGTAGTATTCTACAGTTAGAGCCATGGCTGGAAGATTAGACAGTTGCAGCTTTGGGCCCTGTATACAATACAGATGATTATCTATTTAAATACATATAGGAAAGGAGATGTCCTGACACACTGACTGACAGACAACGTACAGCTTAAACCGCTGGTCGTAAAGACTTGAAATTTGGAGTGTACATTCCTCTTATTACGTAGAGATGTACTTAGAACGGATTTATGGAAATTCCATCCCGAAGTGGGTCGGTCAAAAAGAGTGAAAACATTTGTATGAAACTTCATTTCTTTGGACCTATATCGATAAAAATTCGTATTTTTGTAGTTTAAAACCCTAGGAAGGAATTAAAATTTTCATGGTGAATCAAAATATTACCATAGCAACCATTGTTTACAGTTTAATTGGTCATTGTAATCTAACTTATTTATTTATACATTTTCTCTTCTTGTGATAAAAAATTGAGTATATGAGTATAGATTTAATAGCAAAAACAGAATTTCTAATAATAATATTTTTTGAAAATATGCAGCTCATTTTATATACAAAAGAAAACACATACTATATATTTTGCATGCACATGCTATAGATGGAGTTAAGTGTATTAATACATCGCACTGTTTTAGTCAAGTTGCATTTAAAAAAATATTTTTCTATAATTTAATTTGCAATAATGTAAATTAATTGACTTCGTGATATAATTTATTAATATGAATTGTTATATTAATGTCCTTGACATACCTATTATGATTTAACTTGTATAATTTAGACCTCAGTATTTATTTTTAATTGTAAAAGACTTACCGTGTGTAATTTTCTAAGTTTATGGTCAATAAGTGATTTCAATAAAATGAAGTAAGAAAACAGTTTATGGTTTCCTATACTAGATGGCGTTTATTCGTAACTAAACTGCATTATTATTCCTATGGTCAAATAATTTAGCGCAGTTTTAGATTTAGTTTTGAATAAACTTTAAATTTGTGTTTTTCTTTCCATCTGTATTTCAGATTGGATAAAAAGCTTTAAGGTTCAAGTCAGTAGTCGCTTAATTACATGTGTAGCTGTTGCTGTGCAATAAATAAATATATATAGCTTTTCAACAACATCAAAGTAATTTTATTCTAATATCACGGATATGTTACTATTAATAAAATTAATAATTGTGTTCCATATTATGACTATTGACAGTTAACCAGCTCCCTGGGCTTTGTACAGCCGCACTGCAGAAAGACGCTGTGATGCTTAGTCAGCTGATCGACATTTAGCCGTGCAAATGAATATAGATATTCCATTACAGGGCTAGCCTTACTGGACGAATGTTCGAATGTTTTATTAGGGATTTTATTTATGATAATTATTATATATAAATAATAATTTTCTA